TTGAGCCATTTCGAATAATATATCAAGCATCATCCACTTCGTCCGTACAGCTTTTGATTAAATCTCCAATCATATTTGATGTACTTCTTTCTTTCCATAGATGCTTGATCTCCAAGTCAACTTCATGCATTCTTCCAATATTAATTTTCTTCACGAAAATTCTTCTGGGATATCTTCTTTGAGTAGTAGCGACGTGAATTCATATCATTCAACTTCTTCTTCAATTTGTCATTTTCAACAGACAAATTCTTGATTTTCGGCTTTATATCTTCTTCTTCTATTTTCATCCATTTTCCTCTGTTTTTCTCTTTTCATAATTAAATAATTTCCCAATCATGGTCTTAGACTCTACTAGACCTAGAAATAAAATTGGGGGATCTACAAATACAAATTTGGCATATCAAAACCATTACACTTTATTCCTAACAATATATATATATATATATATATATATATATATATATATATATATATATATATATATATATAGGAAAACCATTTTGAAGCCGGAAGATATATATACTTAGGAGACTCTAGCTTTAAAACCGAGAATAGACTCAACAGGTAAGGACAAGCACATTTATCAGTTATAATCATGCATATAAAGATATTAGCATACACCCTAAGGTCACACATCACCATATCAGTATTCAACCATTATCTCAACACATAAGCACATTTTGGTTGCGCCACAGGACCAATCGCATGCCCATACATGAGGGTCAGCGCATATAGCGCTAATACGGCCCCGCGGCACCTTGCCTCGTACCGCAGCACGAAGGGGTTGATCGCAACCAACCGATGAACCGCAGCTCATCATAACGTTTGATCGCAACCAAACGGTGGACCGCAGCCCAAAAAGTGTATTTCTGATCGCAACCAGATTATGAACCGCAGCTCATGTATAACGTTTGATCGCAACCAAATGGTGGACCGCAGTCCTATATAATATTTATATACCTGACCGATCGCTACCGGCCTAGTTAACAGCCGATGGTTCTCAACCCATCCAACTGCCCGTATAGCCAATTTGATCGCAACTAAATTGGGGTATCATGCACACATAACACATAGCAAACACATGCAACCCACATTAGCATATTGGGAAGGGGAGAAAACGTATAAATAAAACTTATGCGTGGTTATCCACATACTAGGAATATTCCTAAGGGGTTCATACATCTTTCACCTAGGCCAACGGGATACCAATTCAACTAGCATGCAATACATAAGACTCTTTTATCCTACGAATGGTACCCAAAATATCAAACTAGACTCAGGCACGACAAACGGGGTCCGTTGGGACACCACAGGGAACGGAGAAACATCAAACGGGAAAAAGCATCATCCACACTGGGAAAAACCTGAGGGTGAAGGACCACCCGCCGGCGGCATCCTTCTGGGCAGCGGGTGCCCGGCGGGCAGTCGCCTCCCCGCCGGCTGCCCGCTGCCGGCTACACCAATTGGGGCAGCGGGTAGGTGGCGGGTTCCCCTACCCCCACCGACTCTTTTGTAATAATTTGGTCCCGGGATCTGTCGTGGAACCCAAAACCATGTCTAGACACATTCAAACACAAACGACGACACCAAGTAATCAAGTAACGGATTAAAACCAAGAATCACGTTAAATACATCCTAACATGACTTCTAAACATAAACAAGACTCAATACCCGAACATGCAAAATCTCACCCAAACATACCAAGAATATCACAATACGAAATCCATGATTTAACCTAGGGCTCTAATCACATTTAAATCACAAGATCATAACTTCATCTTTAAAATCAAGAACATCAAGAATATCAAGATCAACACACAATTATCAAGATTCCCTCATAATCATCAAGATTATCAAGATCAACACATAAGATCATCTCATAAATGTCAAGATCATATTATAATCATCATAAAAGCTTTATCAAGACACAAGCATAGAATTGCATATCAATGGAGCCAAAGAAGAAGATTATAGCAAGGAAAATAGGTTTTGTTGAGACATGGGTTACCTCTTAGCCTTAATTAGAATCCTTGGCTATAAAGGTTCTTTCTCTAAGATCTCCTCTTCTTGATTTCTCCTACGTTTGGTGATAGGGGAATTCTTGGGAATTCTTGTGTGGTGAAAGCTATTGTGGTGTGAATTCTAGGTTCCTCCTATGTCCTTATATATATCTAAGGGTCCTAATTATGGTCTGATTGGTATGGATTTACTAATTCTATTCCTTATAGGACTAAGGGTTTGGTTTAGGGATAAGCGTCCATGGTCTATGGTGGACCTTTCCTAATTAATTAAGGGAATTTAATTCTCTTTTAAGGGTAAGTAATTAAATAATTAGTTTGGGTTAGAGGCCTTAATATGGGGTGTTATAATTACATCCAAGCTGGATCATATTTCTCGAAGCTTCCTTTGGGGAGCCAGTGATGGAGAACGAAGTTGCAACATAGTGAACTGCGGTACGGTTACAACACTCAAGAGACTAGGCAAACTTGCCATACGGAAACTTGAGATGACCAACAAAGCTTTCCTTGCAAATTTAAGTTGGAGGCTTATGAACAACGAAGAAAGTCTCTGGGTACAAATAATGAGAACACAAATATTTAGCAGATACAAAGGATTTAACTACCTGGAAGCCCAAAGCAAGGATGTCTGTGCCATGGAAAGGTATAGTTGAAAGCTCCCCTATTCCCCGCTAAAGGAATTAAGGCTCCATTTGGAAAGCAGTAAAATGACTTCTAGAAAATGCTTTCTGAAAAATGAGTCATTTTCCAGAAAATATTTTCCTTGTGTTTGGCTGCACAACAAAAAATTGTCTTTTTGTGTTTGGTTCATTTTTCAGAAAATGAACATAATTGTACTTCAACATTTTAATTCAATGATATTGAAAAAATGTAGAAACCAGTTTACCAGATTGGTTTTTCAGAAGTTTTCGGCCAGGAAACCATTTTAGATGTCAGATATGGAAAAAATAGCCATAAAAAAATAATTTACTATTCGAGAAAATTCTGTCTGGCACAGTCGGAAAAATAAATTTGGAAAAAAAAATACTTTCTGGACTCTTTTTTTCTTGAATTTTTTTTTTTTTTGGAGAACCTAAACTTATATAGCTTGATATCCAAAAAAAAAAAGTTTGGGTTGAAAACATGTTCCAGTAATCACAGAAAATTCGGTTAAGTTCTTGACAGTGTATTGTCTAGAAAAATTATGTCTGACACAGTTTAAGGAAAAAATTCAAGAAAATTACTTCTAGGCCTTGGATTAATATGAAAATTTGTGTGTATGTTCTAGACTTGCTAAAATTCATATTTGAAATAAAAAAAAAAAAAATCAATCAAAATACGTTACCAAATACACCTAGAAAATTTCACAATCTAGGTCAAAAATTTCTGAATTTTCTTCCAGTTCCAGTTTCTTTTATATATATATATATATATTATTTTATTTTATTAAAATCTAACTATATCTAATAAATAATAACCATGACCCTAGTTTATTGTGTTAAAACTTTAAACTATAGACTTTATAATTATTGTTATGTATTATGTAATGTCTAATGTTTGATGAACTATGTCTTATATTAGTTATGTAACAAGTTATTTTAATTATTTTTAGAGTGTACAAATGATAAAAATTAACAAAGTATCAAACTAACAACTTAAGAGTTACGAAAAAAAAAAAAAAAGTTGCGGGTGCCCGCCTAGCCCGCGGGCTAGAGGCGGGGTCTTTGCCATCACTTGTCGCCTGCTACAGGGTAGTTGTATTGTATTACTCTTTAAATCTTAAACCCTAATATCTAAATCCCTAATTGCACAAATTTCTAATTCCATTTATCCCTAAACGCATATGATTAAGTTTTGATTTTGAAGATTCACATCCAGTAAAAATTCCTTAAAACCTAAGTGGCTTTCGAATGATCCTTATATCTGTATACCTTCCTATCTTGATTTTGTGACTTTTGTTGTATTTACAGTTTATGTGATTTCCATTTGGGTCATTTGTTTAATTTGAATTTGTTTTGTTTCTTATAAAAATCATTAACTTGGTTGATTTATATGTAGTATTCTTGATTGCTTGTTTTTACAAGGTAAAATGATGACATCTTTGAGATTATTCTTATACAATGTTCAAGATGAATTTGATTAGAAGCTTAAATTCTTGTAATTATTTACAACATTTTCTGTTTTGGTGGTAATATATTGTTTTGCAAATTAAAATGCATCACCTGTTAGCTACTCTGAAATGCCATTGGGAAAGAGTACGTGTGAAGTCTGAAAAGCTGGCTCTAACCGTAAGAAACATCTTTAAGCTCGTACTATACTCAGACCAATCTCCATTCATAACGGGTCGTCCCCAATTAAAAGATAAAGTGCTGACCAGATTGGTTTTTCCATACGAGAGGAGATTCAAATTCTCGACCTCAACTCTCTTAAGGGACAAGAGTGCACGACCACTCCTGTCAACCAAGCTGGTTATGTTTTTTTTTTTTTTTTTTTTTGGTTTTTTTTTTGGTTTTGTTTTTTTGTTTTTGTTTTTGTTTTTGTTTTTGTTTTTGTTTTTGTTTTTTGTTTTTTGTTTTTGTTTTGTTTTTGTTTTTGTTTTTTTTGTTTTGTTTTGTTTTTTTTTTTTTTTTTTTTTTTTTTTTTTTTTTTGTAGAAGCAAAGCTCATATTTCCATAGAGTAATCTTATGACCAGAGCATATAAAATTAGAAACTCAACTTGACCATATATAGATTTGTATTTCATATATATACATGTTGATGTACAATGACAACAAAAACTCCTAGGAGAAATTAAAGCTGGAGCTAATAACACATCCTAAGTCTATGAGATTGATTTTGATACATCGGAAGAGGAGAGACCATTTTTCCCTACCCTTTCTTACACACTAAAACTAAACCTAAGAGGCATAAAAGCAGAGATTTAATTTCTTGCTTGGAAATCTAAGTTTAGTTTATATATGCTTCTGATCTGATCTCTTGGTATTTCAATTATATTCTTCAGACTAAACTGCTTCATCTCCGGCAACAACAGTTGTAGTAGTATCAGAGGGTTCTTGATTAGTGGCAGGCTTAACTAATGTCGACGGCAGTTCATCCACCGGAACTACACGACTGCCGGCGGTTGATTCCGGCGGAACATTGTCATGTTTCTTGCCCCATATTACCATGTATAGTCCAACCATAATCGCGACGGCTCCCAAAGCTCTATGATTAATTAATACATTCGATAAAGGGAACACATAAATTCAAGTGATATGATGATGAGTTGAAAACATGAATTGAACTAAACTTTTTGAATAATAATATGAATCAAATTATTTTTGTTTACCACTAGTAGAGATTTGATAAAAAAAAAAAAAAAAAAAAAAAAAAAAACAATAAAACAAAAAAAGACTACTGGTACCTATTGTGTGAAAAAGAGATGCTAAAATATGTGGTGGTATATTTGTAATTTTAAAAATACGAGTAACATTTAACATCTGTTATATTATATGAACAGACACGAAAAGTTTATTTTAAAAAAGAAGGGCACATTTCGCGGTGTCACGGAAAGAGGTGCTTCCATTCTCAATTTTGTACTTTCTCAACCTAATGAAGTATTAAGAATCAATACTGCCTTCATTGAGGCTCGAACCCACAACTTCCAATAAGGTCCTTCGCAATCAATCAATAATAACATAATTCGCATATTCACATAGAAGGGAAGGGCAAAAGACATACATTCCAAGGCTCAACTGGTCAGCTAAGATAAATGTCCCCATGATTGCAGCGATAATTGTGCTTAAAGGATTGAATGCAGTGACGAAAACAGGTCCCTTTTCCTTTATGATTATCCCCGACAAGTAATATGTAACTCCCGAGCAAATTACTCCCTGCAAATACATAATCCTTAAAATTAAATATAAGTTATATTTAGTAACATAATTAGCTTATCAGTCAATTTAAGTTTATTTGGTTTAAACAATCAATATAAGTGTTTTTTTCTAAAGGATATGAGTGTTTAATCAATTAGCTTTAATTTTTTATTAATTAACTTTTTGTAACAACTTATTACTTTAAAATGCTAAAATTCAAAAAATTACTCAAAGCATCTTTTTTAATCAACTTTTCGAGAAAGTCATTTTGCCTGTAATCATCTATCAGCTAACAAGCTAATTTACCAAACACATTTCTACAATCAACTAATGCTATTAACTAGTCAAACCACTAACTCAATCAGTTAACAGCTATCATCTAACACCCCATATTGTATTTCTCTTCATTAAAAAAAAAAAACAAAAAACAAAAAAGAAGAGAGTATTCCATACACTGTAAACCATGGCTAAGAGTTTAGTGTTCCAATGTAAGGCCCAGGCTGCAAGATTTTTCCTCTCAGCCACTAAGGCTACCACAGAGCCTTGCAATGCTCCCGCAGTGCATATCAAAGTAGTAAGAGATAGTCCAGCAGGGTATGATTTTAATGTAATTCCCTGTTAAACAAAACGTACATTAATAAGAGCATTATATTTCAAGAAACATATGCATTCATTACAACTTGTCAGGCTGAAACTAACAATCTAGTCTAGTAAATTATATTGATCGAAATGATCCATCGGCTACAGTTATTTCATCCAATAATACTCTTAACTATTAAATTTGTGCCTATTTTAGTTCTCGAAATGACTAGGGAAATTTGGTAAATAGTTGTTAGTTGATTGGATATGTGGGTTTGAATAGTTGATAATATTATTTGATTGTAAAAAAGTGTTTTGGTAAATTAGCTGTTAGCTGAGAGCTGATTACATTCAAAATTATTTTCTTAAAAAGCTTATCGAAAAAAATCTACTTTGACAGTTTTTTTTTTTTTTTTTTTTTAAATTTTAGCATTTGGAACAATAAACTGTTACAAAAAGCTAATTAATCAAACACTCATAGATTGTTTAATCAATGCAAACCACTAATAGTGGTCAAATAAGCTAAAAATAATTGATAAGCTAAGTATGTTACAAACATAACCTAAATAGGTAAAAATTTAGACGAAATAATACATTTGGATTATTAAAATATTTGCAAATTTGATAGTAAATCAAATTATTAGATAAATTAGAGGTTGAGAATCAAAGTGATGAAAATCACTATAATATAATCGAGGTACTATTTCAACAATAAAATTTACTCCTGAATAATATTTTAAAATGCAAACAGTGTAATGTCATAATTTAAAAATAGAAAGGGAAGATTAATGGATGAGAACCGGGGAGCGAAAATAATTGAACTTTTAAAATTTTTAGATGGTGACATACTGACATTGTAGAATTTTTTTTAAATTATAGTGGAAGACATTTAGAATAATATTAAAATATATAATAACCTGAAGAATTATGAAACTGGCCCATAAGAAGCAAGCAGCTATGATCATGACAGCCCCTTTCATAATGTCTTGCTGAGAATGTAGAGCAGTTGCTGTTTGGATAAGGTTTGTGTGTTTGGTCCAAGGCAATCCAATGTTTGGTCCTTTGACAAGAGTCATTATCATGGCTCCCCCGATGGTCACTGCTGTTCCCAAAACCTTAGCCTGGCTATGCACTTTCTTCACATTTACTTTCTCAATCCTGCATTGTCACCGTAAATTTTTTTTTTATTTTTTTTTTATAAAAATACACTACCCTTCTTTTGAAAACGGTAACTAAAAGTCAATCTCATAAGTTATTTTTTGTACATTGCAATTTGGACAGCTCTACTGAGAATAATGTACCATAATCACAACAACGTATGGTAACTTTTAAAAACTCTATTTATTTATTTGTATTTTATCTGTGTAATTAATCTTCTAGTTTTTAATGTCATAAACTCCATGTCTGAATTACTTGCAAAATCTCATTCTAATGATATAATTTTATTAATTATGCTTTGAATTTTGATAATTTATTGTATCGAACATGTGTGTGTATTTTGTTTTGTTTTTTTTTTTTTTTTTTTTTTTTTTTTTTTTTTTTTGAGAATTTTTATATTGTTAATGACTATGATACACACACAAACAAATATCATGATGGTAGGTGGGTATGTATATATTTGCATATATATTATTTTGAATAGGGGTATTTCTTTTCCATTTAAATAATATTTATTTTTCATTCCCTAGTTAAACCAAACATTAAAAAAAAAAAAAATTCCTTCTATATTCCTATATGTTCATCCCATCATATATTTAAATAATATTCATATTTTATTCATTTATTTCTTCAATTCCCATCTTAAATCGTATTCTTATTTCCTCTGTTTTAATTCTATGAACCCAACGCCCGTAATTCTAGGCATCTTTAATAATTCCCCATTTCATTATTATTATTATTATTATTATTATTATTATTATTATTATTATTATTATCTTTGTTGTAGAAATGTACAAATACTATATGAGATTGTATTTAATGAGATAAATGAAAAATTGGAGGAATGGGGAATGAAAATTAGAAAATTGAAAAAATAGAAAATTAGAGGAGTAGAGAAGGAAAATTGAAAAATTGGAGAAATGAAAATTTGGAAATGGAAAAACAAAGAAATGAAGTAAATGACCACTGAGTATGTTTTGAGTATAGTAAATGTATTGTCTGTTCTTGAGAGCTTTTATCTAGCCCATTTTAATATAGAAATTTGGTGTATGAATTAAAAGGTACCTAAGGATCCAAGCCAATACAAATGTAATGGCGGGAAGAACATTGTACAATGAAGCAGTAAAAGTTGCCGTTGTGTATTGCATCCCTGAGTAAAATAAATCCAGCTGCATAACCGGCCTGCATATAATAATAATAATAATAATGTATATTATTTTTTTGTTGTTGTATTAATATTATATTATCAACACTGATACATACTATCAACAACAGTGTTGATTTGCTCGGTAGAAAATTCATATATACATACCCTATTGATACAATCAAGTATATCATACTTGGTTGTAGTCGATACATACTATCAACAACAGTGTTGATTTGCTCGGTAGAAAAATCATATATACATACCCTATTAAACCAAGAACCATTATCTTCAAGAAAGTGGAAATTGTCATCTTAGGCCTAACTTTCCTGCATAGAAAAATAATACAAACAAACATAATTAGTGTGTACATATTATTAATGCACCAATCTTTATCTTTGATTTATGAAAAAATTTGCTTTGGTTGAATCTCGCCGGGTGACTTTAACTGGTAAAGGACCACAAAAAAATAAATCAGTCTAAGTTATCCATAGTTATGACTGACTCAAATCGAAGTGGTCAATAGATAACTTAGACAGTCAAAATTAATTAGAACCCTTGTACCAATGTTTATCGTTGTATATATAGACAGAGGTATGATTGCATGCTTAATTAATATTTATGCTGCAGTCACTTTCTATATTGAGGTAGCACGTGAATTGACTTATTTCTTCTTCTCTAAAAAAATTGACTTATTTTTTCTTATATATATATATATATATATATATATATATATTAAAAAAAAAAAAAAAAAAAAAAAAGGTCTGTTTGAAGTTCAATTGTTTATTGATTTTAAATATATGAAAACGACGGCGTACCTTTCGAAAAAGATGGCAAAAGGAGCGACAGCGACAGCGGCAAAGAGATTCCTATAGACTGAGTAAGTGTAGGGGCTCATGCCTTCATTGAGAGCAAACTTGACAACAATGGCCAAGCCTGCATACCCAAACTGCAAGAAGATGACAGCCAAATATGGCTTTGCCATCTTTGAGAATTTAACTAAACTCTCTCTTCCCATGTTGAATTGGTTGTTGCAGCTTTCTTGTGTAAGTATAAATATAATGTATGGTTGATGAGGCTTCCTCTCTGGCTGCTTCACATATTTATAGGAGTGAAAGTCATTGAATGAGATGTAAATTTAGTTGATTGATTAATTGAAACATCAAATTATGTTTGCATGTAATGTTTTATGACAAATTAAAGTAGATAATATACTGAAATTGAAATAAATATGTCCTCATAAAACTCCAAATACCAACCAAGTTTGATAGGAAAGGTCCCTTCTTTTTGACACACTTGAATTCTTCTTGGGGGTGTTTGGTTCAAGTTATATAAAATAATCAAAGAAAAGTGAACTTTGAAATGTCATATTCTCATGTTTGGTTCAAGTTATTTTACTTTTTCGAGGGAATATAACTTTCATGCATATTAAGTATTATGAGATTCCATGCATATTTACTACTTTTGCCATTTAATTATAATTATTATGAAATATATATTTTATGTTCTGTTATTATACATATCATATTTAATTATTTTTGTAATTATAGATATTATTTTATTTTTTATATGTCATGTTAGCTTATAAAGTAATTTTGTTTCTCAAGTTCAAATTCTAGTTAATTATTTTCAAATCATGTACTTATATATATGTTACAATGGTCTTATATATTTATTTAATTTTGAAGTTATAAAATACATCAAGATTATTTATTTAATTTTGAAGTTATAAAATACATAAAGATATGTCAAGTAGTTCTTAGTTAATTATTTTTAAATTATGTAGTTATATATGCTAAGTTGATTTCATCGGAGTGCCCCTCTTTACTTTCCGAAAAATTCAGTGGCGAAATTGAAGTCATAACTAATTAAAAAGCTAAATTAACTAAAGAGAACCACTGGATTTATAAGTCAGAATAATTAACAGACAAACAAAAAATCTAATTTTCACTATAAAAGTAGTTTCATATGTTCGTTTATTCTTTTGTTTTCCATGCCTGTTCCGACAGCCGTGACTACATACAAAAATGAAAGCCGTTGACAAATTAAAGTTATGAATGTAAATAGTGGGACCACTTGACATCACTGCATCATGGGCAGTTGTCTATATGTGTGTATATATATATATATATATATATATATATATATATATATATATATATATAGAGAGAGAGAGAGAGAAGGGTTCCAATGAGAACTCTTGCTTAGGTGAAAACGTGTGAACAAATCGTGTGCATTCATCTAATATTTTTTAATGGTCTAGATTAGATTAATTGTGTTCGAACGCGAATTTAATGTGTTTGTGTACAAACACACTTAATCGCGTTTGCACATATTTAATTCGCGTTTGCACACACTTAATCTAATCTAGACAATTAAAAAATATTAGATGGATGCAAACGATTTGTTCTCACGTTCTCACCTAAGCAAGTGTTCTCATATGATCCTAAATCTATATATGGGTTAAGGCTTCTTATGGGTTGTGGGTACGTAGGAAGCTTTCCAAAGGCGTTTTGAAATGTGGGGGTGTCTTGCCAAAGGCGTTTTTGGTTCTTAAAACACGATAAATTGAATCAAGAAATTCATCGTTCTTTGAAGATGTATGAAATGAACGTTCGACGTAGCTATGGTAAGAGGGTATGAAAGAGATCACGAGCTCAAAGCTAGACATAGCAAGCGAGCTAGGATTGAAAGATCCTTTGGTCCAGATTTTCTGACGTACATGTTAGAATGTGATGCGCATATTCTAACTTGTTTACTGGAAAATGAACCGGATTTTCTGACATGGTTGTTAGAAAACGAGCCTCGAACGTATGTAGAAAGGGTGACTTCTACAGATGGACAAACACGAGAGAGGCTACCGAAAGTAAAGTAGATTCTATCTTAGAGAATCATACTTGGAACTGGTTAATCTCCCTTCAGGGTTGTAAAACCTTTGGATCTTAATAGATCACATGTCGGAAGATAAAAACCGGTTGGTTATATTGAAGTAAATGGCTAGGCTTGTAATTGTAAATTACATGCAACGCGAGAGCCACAGTTACTTCGATATATATTCTCTTGTGATGAGAATGAAATCCATTAGTACGATACTTGCCCTAGGCGTTTAGCGAGACTTGGAAGTTCATCGAAATTGATGTATCGCTTTCTTAATAAACATGAAACGACCTGAGGGTTTTTGTGGTTCCGCGCTATAGAAAGAAAGTGTGTAACTGGTAAGATCATTGTATGGTTCGAAATAATTGCCTTAGTATTTGGTATATGAGGTTTGATCATACAATGATGACCGACGAGTTTAGTATAAACGAAGGTGACAAGTGTGTCTATGTAATGCGTACGATAGACGGTGATGTCACTATTTGTTTATACATGATAAACTCATCTTGGGTAGTAACGATCAATTGATCAAATCTACCAGGAACATGTTAAATTCGAGATTTGACATGAAAGGTATGGGTTTGGCAGATTTAATCCTAGGGATTAAAATCGTGAGAAGACCGTATGGTCTCGTGTTTAGCCTATCTCATTGAGTTGATTGAATCCTTGCAAATGATGATAATCAAGTGGCTTGAACACTGTTATATACTAACGTACAACTAGTCAATAATCACGGAGAATACATTCATATTATTGGTAGTTTAATTGTATCTAATGAGGTGTACTAGGCCGGATATTGCCTTTGCGGTTAACGAACTCGGTAGACATACGAGTAACCCTAGTGCTACGCACTAGAAGGCAATTGTGAGAGTTATGATATACTTAAGGTATACTCGTGACTTTGGAATTAACTACGTGGGATATCTAGCTATACTAGGAAAGAATAACACGTTAACTGGATATCAAAGGACGCTAAGTCCATTAAAGGTTACATGTTTACGTAGGTTAGTGCAGTTGATTGAATGAAAATTCTTGAAAGGACTTGTGATAGCTAAGATCCATGACGGAATCTAAGCTGAGAGCCTTAGACATGTGTCGTAGAAAGGCTGAATGGCTACACCATTTGTTCGAGAATATTCCTAATTTGGGAAAACTCGTACCTCCAACTTGTGTGCATTGCGATAGTCAAGGCAAAATTGGTTAAGTGCGGCATGGATATGATGGCTCCAATTTAGGCGATTCCCGGGCGTCCCATGATTACGTTGTGGACGCACGCCAGGTTGACCACAATAAATTCCATTTGCACCCTCTGGATCCTTGGGTACGTCCCGGCCTCGACGGGTAGCCTGATTACTCCTTCGGGTTCGATCGTGTCCCCGGTGAATCCGGATAACAGAGTACGCACGGGGGTCATCTCCGCCCGATCAAGCTTTAACTTATTGAACACGTCCATGTACAGGACATTGACACTACTTCCGGTATCGACCATCACCCTCTGTATGTCTACCCCTTTGATGTCAATGGTAACGATCAACGCTTCCGTACCGTGGTCGGGGTTCCAGGGTAGGTCGTCGTCTGTAAAGGTGACGGCTTCCTTCCTGGGACGTTTATCCTTCCGATCATCCTCAATGATCTAGACCTGCAAGCTCTGACACCACTGGCGTCTTTCATCTGAACTATCACCCCGTTCCGGACCTCCAAATATGACGTGAATAACCTGTTTGGAGCCGGATGACCGGGGTTCTTCGTCGGGATCTTGATCCTTATCCTTCTTGTTCTTGTCTGACCTTCTGAAAAACTTTTTCAACCGTTTGCCCTTCTCCTTTTTCTCCAAGAACTAGGACAACTCATCTTCCTTCAGGAGGTCCTCTATCACCTCCTTCAAAACTCGACACTCTTCGGTGGTGTGCCCCCGATTCCTGTGATACGCACAGTACTTGGTCGTGTCCCGACCATAGTGGCCGGGTTCGGGTAACTGGATCAGGTTACACCCCTGGGCGTAGTCGAGGATCTCCGAAGCCAGCCGATTCAACCGGGACAAGTCATCCGGTTTACCTCGCGATCCTTGCTGACGATCTCCGCGTTTTTGGTCTGACCGGTTGTCCCGGTGCCCAGAGCCGGGCTCTTGACGTCTCTTCGCCAAGTTTGCTTCCATGGCGTTAGCATAATCTATGACGCGGCGAATAGCCTCGTCATATGATTGTGGAGGGTGGACTATGAAATCCTGATATAGTGCACCGGCCCGGAGGGAGCAGTGTAACACGTTAATTGCGGTCTTGTCGTCCATCGATTCTACTTCTCCGATCGCATTCTTCCATTTGACGAGAAAATCGGTCAAGGACTCGCCTTCTAGATGCTTGGCCGCCTCCAGATGTGTGAAATGCTTTCTAACAGTTCGGGACGTTGCAAAGCGTTGTATAAATTTGGTTGCCAGGTCGGCGAAGCACGTTATTTAACCTGGTTCTAAGGACTTAAACCATTCCGTGACGTGGCCTGACAAGGTGGAAAAGAACGCTCGGCAGATAACAGCATCCGACACTCCCATCATTATCATGTTCCTGTAAAAAGAGTTGACGTGCTCTTCTGGGTCTGTCTTTCCTGAGTAGTCCTTCGCGCCTAGGATGCGCAGGTCAATCGGATACTACTACTCCATGATATCCGAGGAAAAGGGGGTGCGTAAGAGGGCGGCATCAAGCCCGGGAACCTGAGACGTCTGTTCTTGCTTCCACCTATTGAACTCCTGACGCACCTGATCCATGACCCCGGGAGGGATTCCCTCCCGGGCTCCCTGGCAGTTGTCATGGTGGCATAGACTTCGGGACAAACTGACTTCGTCCAATTCTTCCCCTTGGCTGGATGCTGACCGGTCGAGTGACGCTCTTCGGTGGTTGTGCCGCGCCCGTCGAGGGGAACCTGTCAGTTGGAGGCGATCAAATGCGCTAGTGCGGGGAACCTGTTCGCCTGTCCTGTCTACCGATCCCAGGCGGGATCTGGCGGGTCGTCGCGGCGGTGTGTGAACCCCGGGATGTGCCGATGACGGCACATGCATGGATTGCTCCCGGCCGAACACCGGTTCAGTTAACCCCGGGCCAAGAGCTGGGCTCGCAACCGGGTAATTGTGTACGGGCGTGTACATGTGCG